TGCGCCACCACGCCCTGCCAAAATCTTTCCTTTTCTTTTTGCTATTGGGAATCGAATTCATGATCTGTGCTTGCCAGGCAGGCACTGTGCCACTGAGCTATATTCCCCATTTTTTTGGTTTTTTGAGACAGGATCTCACCATGCAGTTCAGGCTGACCTTGTACTCACTGTATAGCCCACATTAGCCTCGAACTCATGATGTCCCTCCTGCCTCAGCCTCCAAAGTGCTAGGATTACAGGCGTGCGCCACTCCATCTGGCTACCACACTTGTTGAGTGAATAAGTGAACCCATAGAATGACTGGTGGAGTAAGGGATCTATTGATGTCTAATGCATTGTTATGATCAGCCAGGGCTGGAGCTGAGGTTCCATAACACAGCTTTTGCCTAGCATAGGTGAGGCCCTGGGTGCACCACTGAGCAATAACGTTGTGAAGAGAAAGACCCCCTGGCAGGGGGTGGGTGAGTGAGTGACAGCCCTTGGGCTGGCGAGTGGCCTGAACAGCGGTGTATGACCACATGCGGCTGAGGTTTGGAGCGCGAGGCAGCCATCACCTGCCTCCTTTGAGTGACAAGGGCCCTCTGTGTGTATGTTCCAGTTCAGCAATGTCACCTTCTTAATTTTCGGGCCCCTCATGACGTTCCTGATGCACTCGTACATCCAGAAGCGCTCGCGCTACATCTACTGCACCATGGCGCTCTTCGTGTTCACAGGTGGGTGCGGGTCCGGGAGCGTGGGGAACAGCGGGGGAGGGGGGTCAGGCCCTTCCTGATGCTCTGCTGGTCCCTAGGCCTCTTCTCCATGTACTTCCACGCGACGCTCAGCTTCCTGGGCCAGCTGCTGGATGAGGTAGCCATCCTGTGGATGCTGGCCAGCAGCTACAGCATCTGGATGCCCCGTTGCTACTTCCCCACCTTCGTCAAGGGCAGCAGGTGAGGCCTCTCGGCTGTACCCGAGGGCCGCCCCCGGCCCCTCTGCGACACTGACTGAGCTCACCTGAGCCCGGGCCCACGCCGGGCCCGCTCCCGAGCCAGCCCCGGGATTCTTTCCCGACCCGGTCTGATTTGCTTGGACGGGAGCCTCTCCAGACTGCAAGGCAACTTCCCAGACACCAGGCGCGCGCCTCCCTGGGCCTAGGGACCTCTCCTCTGAGCCACTCCCCTGGGCTCCCTGAGCCTTTAGGGCGCCTGGGGCCCCGCGCTGCGTAACTGACCCACCCACATCCAGTCCTCTAAAACGCCTTCTGGGACCCCTGGCCCTCGCCACCCCAACACTCCTGCCATCTCCAGTCTCTGGGCTCCTGAGAGCCAGCTGGGTTTGGGGATCCCTCCTCTGAGCCTTCCCTGCCCTCCTCGGGCCCCTGGTGCTTCCGCTGACTGCCCTGGGCCCTCCAGCCCTTCCCTCCATCCACCCAGCCACTGCCGAGTCCCCCGGCTGGGCTCCTTGTGCCTCGTGTGCCCTTCCCCATGAAGCCCAGGACCCTTTTCAGCAAGGTGACCTTACCCAATCGCCCCAGATGTGCCCGACACCCACAACTGAGCCCCCGTGTCCCTAGGTTTCAGTTCACCTGCATGATCCTGACCGGCACCGTGATCGCCACCTGCCTATCTGTCGTGAGGCCCACTGCCAACGCGTACGCCCTCAACAGCGTCGCCCTGCACATCGTCTACATGGTGCGCTTGGAATACAAGAAGTGAGTGAGGCCGGGTGCGGTGGTGCAGGGCTGTCATCCCAGCACTCCGGGAGGATGAGGCAGGAGGATTGCAAGTTTGACCCCAGCCTAGGCAACTCAGTGACTCCAGAGAAACCTTGTCTCAAAACAAAAACCGAAAAGAGATGAGGATGTAGTTCAGTGTGAAGGCCCCGGGTTCCATCCCTAGTACTGCTAAAGAAAAACAACTGAATGGAGGCTGAAGACTCCTGGGAGGGGCCTCCTGCCCCCCAATCCAAGGACCCCCTACTACCCATCATGCTCCAAGCACTGAGTTCCTTTAACTGCAGGCTCCTGGGAGGGACATTTCTCCCCAGACCACCCTGCAATGCCTGACAGGGCGGGATTGGAACCCAAGTCTGTTTCACTGCTGAGCTGGCCCTCTGCATGATAAAACCCTGAAGGACACACTGATTGGTGGTGAGAATAGCCCTGGTAGTGTTGGGATGGAAACAAAAGATGTCCTCCAGAAAGCTCCTGTGTTAGGAAGTGGGGCTTTTTGGAAGGTGATCCGGTCACCTGGCACTGACCCTGCCAAAGGGTGAGTCCACTGAGTTCCTAGCTGAGCGTGCTGTGTGGAAGAAGGAGGTCACTGAGGGCATGACCCCGAGGGTCGTCTTCTTGTCTCTGCCCCTCCTCCCTCTCCGGCTCTTTTTTAACTCTGCTTCCTTCCCGCCATGAGGCGAGCAGCTTTCCTCTGCCAGGCCCTTCCGCCAGCCAACCATGGACTGAGACCTCTGAATCTACCGCCAAAATAACCTTTTTCTCCTTTATGTTGGGTAGGTCAGGATACTTAGTCCCAGCAGCTGAAAGGTGACAGTTACAGCCCACCCAAAACTTCCACACACCCACCAACCAGCTCCAATAACCGTCAACATTGAACCAGTGTGTGTTACACATGCCCCTTAGATCTATGTACTTTCACCCTTCAATCTTTCAGGAATTAATTCTCCCAACAATTATTGACTTCCACCCACACCGGTCCTAGCAGGAGAGACAGAGGATCTCAAATCAGTCCATTTGAGAAGAATCAAAAGGTTATAAACAGAGAAGGCAGGGCACAGGAAAATCTGTGGGTGTTGTTTAGCATCCCCGTGCTACGAAGTGTTGGATTATGTGACCATCCAGAGATGTGGTGCCAGGGTCGTGGGAGGGAGGGAGGAAGGAGTGACCATAGGAAGCAAGAAGAAGCCATCGCCGTTCCCATAGAGAGCGCTCCCTGAAGATGTCATATCCAGTTCCTGGTTGCGACCAGCCTGAAGCAGCCCCCAGAGGAAGTAGGGAAATCAATATTCTAGCAGTATCCTCTTCCAACCTTTTGATTTCCTGCTGGTCCCCACATGGGTCAAGAAACTGGAAACCATTGGCTAAGCCAATTGGAAACAAACGACCAAGCCAACTGGTAACCATTGGTCAAGCCAAGTAGAAACCAACGGCCAAGCCCACTGGAAAGCACTGGCCAAGCTAACTGGAAGTCATTGGCCAAGCCAACTGGAAACTCATCATCAAAGCCAACTAGGGCTGGGGATATAGCTCAGTGGTAGAAGTGTCTGCCTGGCAAGCACAAGGTCCTGAGTTCGATTCCCGGAACAACAGCAATAGCAACAAAAAAAGACAAAGCCAACTAGAAACCATTGGCCAGAGTTAACATCTGCACTTAGTGACCTGTAAATACTTAGCAAGTATTAGCTACAAGCACATATTAGGGACCATGTTAGTCAGATTTCTGCTACTGTAACAAAGACTTGAGATGAACCTACTTATAAAGAGGTAAGGTGAGCCGAGCATGGTGTCATGCACCTGTGGTCTCAGCTACTCAGAAGGCTGAGGCGGGAGGATGGCTTGAGCCTAGGAGATCAAGGCAGCAGGGGCAGCACAACATGATAAGAAAGGTAAGGAGAATTCTTTCCCAACAAGAAAGGTAAGGTGTCGTCAGGCTCACAGTTTAGAGGTTCTAGTCCGTGATTGGATGGTCCCATCTCTGTGCTGGTACACGGGGCCAGCAATGCATGGCAGAGCAATACCTGTCTTTTTATACACAGGAAGCGAAGGGGAAAGAGGTGAGCAGACCAGGGTCTTCAGTGTGCAATGACTGCTCCCAAGGCTGGGCCTCTTAAAGTCCTACCCCTACCCCTCAGCATGAGCTGGGGACCCGGCCTTTAACACCGGGGCCTTTGAGGACACTCCTGGTCCAAACAGTCCAAATTATCAACTCACAGACACCTTTAGGCCCTGCTCCTTCCCTCCGCCCATCCTTGGATGGCGGGAATTTCCCGCACGGCCCCCGCAGGTGCTGCTGTCTGAGCCGGCCCCGCGTCCCTCACCTCCTTCCAGGACCAGAAACATGCAGCTGCGGCATATGATCGAGATGTCTGTGATTCTGTGGGCCGGCGCCCTGGCCAGCTGGATCAGCGACCGCTTGTTTTGCAGCTTCTGGCAGCAGGTTAATTTCTTCTACCTGCACAGCATCTGGTGAGTTCCTGCCCCCGGCCTGAGCCCCCAGAATCAGAGGAGCTCGGGGGCCAGAGTTTGGAGCAGGAGCCCGGGGTGGGGCAGGGAGCCGAGGGGGCAGAGCTAGACGTTCAGGCTGGGCAGGCAGGGGAAGCTGGGGGCCGGGCCCTACGGTCCCTCTGGGGGGCTGAGATCCGGGAGAGTCGGGAGGGGCCGGGGAGGGCCGGGGGTGTCCTGCGCCCTCACCACCCTCTCCCTTCACCCCGCAGGCACGTGCTCATCAGCTTCATGTTCCCGTATGGCTTCGTCACCATGGCCTTGGTGGACGCCAGGTACGAGATGCCGAGCCAGACCCTCAGAGTCCGCTACTGGCCGCGGGACACTTGGCCCGTGGGGCTGCCCTACGTCGAGGTCCAGGCTGATGACAAGAACTGCTGAGGCCTGCCGGTCCCTTCACAGTCACCTGCTTGTGGGTTCACCTGGGACCGGAGGCGGAGGCCTGCACAAGCGCTAGGCCTGCACGAGGGACTCCCCGGGTCCTTTTGTCTTTCTCCTGCCTCCCGCTGTGTCTTACCCCATCCTGCCCCCACCGCGGGGCATGATGTCCTGCTGTCCCTAGTGGCCGTCTGATGCCCCTGCTATGGCTCCCCTCCACGACCCGTCCTGTCCTCTTTCACTTCCTCCACTGTGTCCACACCTTCCCCATGGCCACTGTCACATCAGCTGGTGGGGCTGGGGCCCCAGGGACCAGGAGACCTCAGTGAGGTGGCAGCATGCCTTGGTTCCGCCTTCAGCCATGACAATGTCCCCGGTACTTGGGGAGTGGCACAAGCACATGCAGGGGCCTCGCAGACCCCCAGGCAGGTGCTCCATACTAGAGGAGGAGTCATCGCTGGTGGACATCTGAGGACAGTGGGGGACACCCTGGGCTATGCGGGCCCCCTGGACCGTGGGGACACCGAGGGGGTGCGGGTGTCCAGTCTACATCTAAAGCAGGACCAGAAACAGGGGAGGGAGCAGGGAGCATGATACGCATGGGGGTTAAGGCTACAGGGCTTGAAGCCCGACGGATCTGAGTGTGGGTCCCTGCTTGATCACTGACCAGCTGTGTAATCTCAGGGATGCTGCTTCCGAAGCTTAGCGCCTTGTTTGTAAATAATATTCCCTTCAGGCCAGGGATATAGCTCAGTGGCACAAGTGCCTGCCTGGTAAGTGCAAGGTCCTGAGTTTGATTCTCGGTAACCACACCAATAAAATAAAATAATATTCCCTCTCTCATGATGTTGCTGTGTGAATAAAGGAAGTTGATGTGTGTAGTGTTTTCTACAGAGTCTTCCAAACATCTGTCCATCCATTTATACTCTAATCCAACCACCCATTTATACATACACCTGTCTACTCATGCATACATGATTGATCTTTCCATCCACCCAGGTACCCTTTGATTTACCTATCGTGTACTAGCTTTGGTGGCACATATACTAAAACAATTGATTTACCTATCCATTAAATCATTCATTTGTTGATTTTTTTTTTTTTTTTTTTTTTTTGGAGGCAAGTTCTTGTTATATAGTTCAGGCTGGCCTTGAATTTGTGGGATCTTCCTTCCTCATCCTCCTGGGTGCTGGGATTACAGGCATGTGCCACCAAGCCCGGCCTTCCATCCTTTGAATTATCTATCCATTAATTTATCCATTAATCTGCCCATTTATTCTTTCTTTGATTTACCTATCCATTCACCCATCCTCCATTAATTGATGTATGCACCCGTTCTTCCACTCATAAATCTACTCACCTTTAACTTACCCATTCACACATCTATTAACTTTACTTAATAATTAAATCATCTGTGTATCCAGCCTTTCATTTATCTATCCATCCATCCATCCATCCATTCCCCTCACTCATATACCAAACTCTCCACTGAAACAGCCACCCATCATCCATCCGTCCTTTAAATTACTCATTCATTAATTCGTCATCCACCTACCTATCCGTCTGTCCGTCTGGCTGTCAGTCTATCCATTATAGATCCATGCATTTTCACATCCTCTGTTTACTGTTTCATCTATCATAGTTGTATCCATCTACTCATTCACTAAAGTGTTCATCCATCACTGAAGCATTCTTCTTCCCATTATCCATCTATATACTTATTATTCACCCAACATCAGCCCATTATCCTTTCATTTCATTTTCTTTCTTTCTTCTTTTTCTTTATTGTTGTGCTGGGGTTTAATCCCAGGGCCTTAGCACTGAGCTACATCAACAGACATTTATTTCTTTATTTAGACCAAGTCTTGCTATGTAGTTCAACCTGGCCTTGAATTCACTGTGTCACTGAGGCTGGCCTCAGACTTGCAGTGACCCTCCTGCCTCAGCCTTCTGAATGCTCCCAGCCATTTAAATTTTTTATCTTAATAGAAGATCTCACTAAGTTGTCCAGGATGGACTTGAAGTTCCCATCCTCCCGCCTCAGCCTCCCAGAGTGCTGGGATGACAGGTGTGTGCCACCACTCCTGGCTTGAGGTCCTTAATGGGGGGTCCCTGGATGACTTTCAGTATTCACAGTACTGCTTGGTACTGTCTGACAAAAGTAAGTTTCTGGGTACATTACCAAAGCCCTGCAGTGCATTATTTCAAACAGATGAGAACCCTGTCATTATTGTAGATGTGGCTCAGGGAGGGGAAGTGAGTTGCCCAAGACCAGAGCCTGGGCTTGAGCCCAGGTCTCTCTCCCTGCTGCTCTTTGCATGATACTGAGTCATCAGTGGGATTGAACTTGACCTTGAGTCCCCTGCTGCTGGGTCTTCCTGACAGTGTTTCAGAGACCAAATGTCTCTGGGTTGTGCAGGGGAGTGTTTCCACATGTTTGTGAAATCACCTGCAAAATATTGTGTGTCTCAGTGTCTGAGGGGGCCGGGGGGAATTGTTCTTCTACGACTGCCTGAAGAGGCATTTGACCTGGTAACAGTTAAAAGCCTTAGATCAAAAACTTCCTGGGATGCCAGGGCCATGGCATGTGCCTGTAATCCCGGCAATCTAGGAGGCTGAGGCAGGAGGATTTCAAGTTCCAGCCTAGCCTGAGCAATTTGGCAAGACCCTGTCTCAAAATTAAAAATAATAGAGGCTGGGAATGAAGCTCAGTATAAAGGCCCTGGCTTCAGTCCCCAGCACTGAAAAAGCAAGCAAGCAAGCAGGCAGGCAGGCAGGCAGGCAGGCTTTCTAGGGGGAGCGGGTAGGAAAGCATCTGGCCCTGACTTGGTTCCATTTCTTCTCCTCCGCTGGCTTCTGTGGCTGTGGGGTGAAATCACCCCAAATTTTCCAACAGGTGATGCCGAAGGACACTCCTTGTTTGATGTTGTTTATGTGAAATGGGCAGAACAGGGACAGAAAGCAAGTTGTGGGGGTCAGACGCTAGAGAAGGGTGCTGGAGCAGGACGCACTGCTTCCTGGGGGCGGGGCTCCCCTTCCAGGGCTGGGTGACCAACACCGTGAATGTTCCCAGTAGGCTCTGCGCTTCCATAGGGTAAACAGTTTGTTGTACTTCGGGAGGATTTACTCTCAACTAAACATTTAAAAGAAATTCTAGAGTCACTCACACACAACTCAGGTCATGGCCCACTATGATGTCTGTCTGTTTGTTTGTTTGTTTGTTTGTGGTGCGGTAGGAGGCAGGGGCAACCCTGGAGCTTGAATCCGGAGTGCTGAGCTGCATCCCCAGTCTTTTACATGTTTTACTGTGAGGCAGGGTGTCACTAAGTGGCTAAAGTGCCCAGGGTGGTCTTGAACTTGGGATCCTCCTGTCTCTGCCTCTCAAGGGCTGGCCCTAGGTTCAATCCCAATTATTGGAAGAGAAATTCATTTAGAGTTGATGTAAGGGCTCCCACTGGCCCTGGGCAGGACACCCCCAAATCAAGGACCACTGCAGAGAAAAGGAATGATGTTAGGAGAGGAGAAATTGCAATGTTCATTGTTCTCACCTTTTCTAAGCACATATCTGGTTTTCATATATTTTTGATCTTCGCCAAAACCATTCATGGTTCCCCACTGCCTGTGGGACAAGGGTCAAACATCTCAGCATTGCCAGGTGTGGTGGTGCACACCTGTCATCCCAACCCTTGGGAGGCTGAGGCAGGAGGATTGCCGAAAGTTCAAGGCCAGCCTGGACTACATGGCAAGATCTTGTCTCAAAAAAAAAAAAAAGAATCTCAGTATGACATTCAAGGTTTGCTCCACGCTGAAGTTCATCTGGGGTGGGCCTCAACCAGCTGCTGTTGGCCTCTGCTGTCCTAGCTTGGTCAGCATTATGATGGGTAGTTGCTGGCGATCTAAGAGAGGCAAAACACATGGCAGGCCAGAAAGGGGATTCCAAAAAAATATCCTGAAGGGCTGGATCATCTAGAAATGGAGAGAACTATGTGTAAAAGCCTGCCAGGCGCAGTGGCACATACCTGTCATCCCAGTGCTGTGGGAGGCTGAGTCAGGAGAATCACAAATTCAAGTCCTGCCTGGGCAATATAATGAGGCCCTGTCTCAAAATAATAATAATAATAATAATAATAAT